ATGGGTGTGACCATCTCGTGCAGTAACACATGCAAAAGTACATTGTCGAGCTAGCTAATAAAGACCTATGTAGTGGATGATTGTCCATAACACGACAAGCAAGTTGATTATATATTGGTGCCATATCATGTTAATAATCAGGCAAATCCATTCTGAAGTGTTGGCCAAGACAGTCAGTGACAAAACGTACACGATGTGTTCTGTCATTACGCTGTACAACTATTCTTTCCTATTCTTTGTAGACAAGACAACGTGACATGTTCAGGGATTTCATATCTGTAACACAATCCAGTTAAGCCACTACCACTAGCATGGAGTAGGGCTCCGAGTTGGTAGGTAAAACCACACCAGATATTAATGATGCCTCCAACAAACAAGTGACGCTGTCTGATGGTGGCATCCATAAAGCATTCACTAGGGCATCTAGAAACAAATAGTGACCTTGACTCATCTGTGAAGGGTCATGAATAAGTTTTCGCGTATCTGTTAAATTGTCAGACTTATTTAGCTGATTACTAGTGAATGGCTGTGTTATGTCTGTCATCATTTAGGCTCATGCGAGGTCCTGGACGGAACTTGACTCAGTGATTTGGAACTAATTACGATATAACCGACGCTATCCGGACTACTATTTCTGACAGTTGGTATTCGCAGTTAGTAATATAGTGAACGATTAATAAAAAGATATGATGTGTCCAGTACTTAGTTTGATTGACTATGTGTAAGTTGAATGTGTGAAGGCCACGCCTTAGAGTCTTTTAACTTCTTTGTAATTGGTTAAGCTTTTGAAAGTGAATAAAGAAGACTACAGGAAACAACTGCTGCCCAATGGCTGGGTTGTTGATCTCATGCTATAGGAGCAGCTCTGTGGCCTGGGAACTGGCCTAAAACTTTAATAGCTACATAATTCTGACCACGATGCTTATCAAAAGCCTTTAAAGTATCTTCCAGGTCTCAGATTAGAGCAGATGCATGAACGACAACGTTCCATCTTTTTCACCCAATGCATCTGTGGAAGTCTAATTTGTTATTGTGTGGAGGCATCTGTTGTCATTTACTAAGTTGACCAAGAATTTGGACAGGTATGGCAGACTGAACACGATCAATGTCAATATTGTAGGTAAATAACATCATTGCACGTTGATCAGGGTCATTTGTGATGCAATGCAACATAAGCTCACTATGATACATGAATGTAGTGCGATTTCAACAGGTCATTGGCCTAATGAAGTCACATGAGACATGTACCCTGAGACAACACAACTCGTGAAGACAAAACCCACACTTAATCTCGCAAAAAATCACAGTATCACTTCGTTAAAGTACAGCAACTCAGACACCAATGGTAGTCAACAACCTTGTTGGGTCTTGATGTTTACTACAACCTCGACCCCGAACTGGCTGTTAAACACTATTAACGTCCTCAAGTTCAAGAAATGAAACATGCACACTGATAGTAATCAGTGATTTGTTTTCCTCCTCACTTAATTTGGCCACTTTTACAATGTAACTATGAACTTCACAATGAAATTCCTGTCCAGTAGGTTTTTCTTTAATGAATGACATTTGCTATTGTTATGTATTTTTTTAAATGTCAAACGCATGTTATAGGTGGAATTCAAATTCTTGTATGCAGCAACACACATTAATGCGTTTTTGATGCAAAAGCATCGCCAATACGCCTGCACTTATTTAGCCACAGCTATAGTTGGCAGCGTGCTGAAAGAGATCACTCGCATGGATGCTGGTCAGTACATGTTCAGATTCACAAATGTAATTGACAAGCACATTACTGAGATGTGACATTACAAAGAAGTGATATAAGGAGCATATCCTACAACACTTGTGGCACCTGCCAAATATAAATCTGTGTCATTAATAAATAGTTCTTTTAGGAAACTATTGTTCACACCATACAAATTAAATTTGTATACTTTATATTGTTATACCTCCAATGTATACCTTATGCACAGCGTGGTAATACTGTGGAAGAACAGTTGGTCATCATGGTCAAACAGAAGCAACTATTCATTGGCTCCTTAACGGGTGGTAGTCATTCCAATATGTTCAATATTGTTACCTTGCAGTGTATAGAAAAAATGCAAAATAAATTGTTGACACAAAATTTAAACGTGACAACGATGACGTTGACAATATAGTTTATGAGGTTCTCATAAATGCAGTATGGTGATCGCATCGACCCACTCCTGGCATACTGTGCATACTATTATCTTACATACATAGTTTTCTGCTTGTAGTAATAATTTAATGAGAATGTACAGCCCAAAATGCCAATGGAAAACGTGTTGTGCTGTGTGAACATTTTAGCTGAGCAGTGGTTTCTAAGTCACGTTCTAGGTCTTTCTGTAGCGGGTCATGCGTCTTAGTACAGTCTGTGCTCAGAAGTAGAGAGTAGGTTAACCCCAGCAAGTTTTTCTCGCGATCAATCCAACAGCCGAACAACTTAGCTCGAGTCATAACCCACATTCATGTAACTCTGCTTATCTCTGGCGCTACACTAGGGACGAGCATGAACATGTAATCTAATATACTCGCGCATCATTCTAATACTATACGAGTACAAACAGTGGTGCACAAAACCATTAAATGCGTTGTGGTGAATGCCTATCATGCTGTGGTGAATGTCGATGGTGAATGCCTACCATGTAGTGGTGAATGCCCATCACGTTATGGTGAATGTATATCACGCTGCAGTGAATTTCGATGGTGAATGCCCATCGCGTTATGGTGAATGCATATCACGCTGCGGTGAATGTCGATGGCGAATGCCCATCTTGTTATGGTGAATGCATATCACGCTGCGGTGAATGTCGATGGTGAATGCCCATCGCGTTATGGTGGATGCATATCATGCTGCGGCATATGCCTACCATGTTAAGTTGAATACCTATTTTGTAATGAAGAATGCCTACCATGTTATGGTAAATGCCTACCATGTAATGATGAATGCCTATCATGTTATGGTGAATGCCTATCATGTAATGATGAATGCCTACCATGTAATGGTGCATACCTATCATGCAATGGGGAAATGCCTATTATGTAATGATGAATGCTTATGTTGTGGTGAATACTTATCACGTTGGGGTGAATGCCTATTATGTAATGGTGAATGCTTATCATGTAATGGTGAACACCTTTCATGTAAAGATGAATGCATATCATATGGAGAATGCCTATCATGTAAAGGTGAATGCCTGTTATGTAGTGAATGCTTATCACGTTGGGGTGAATGCCTATTATGTAATGGTGAACACCTATCATGTAAAGGTGAAAGCATATCATACTATGGCGAATGTCTATCATGTAATGGTGAATACCTACCATGTAATGGTGAATGCTTATCATGTAATGGTGAATACCTATCATGTAAAGGTGAATGCCTATTATTCAATGGTGAATGCTTATGTTGCGGAGAATGCCTATCATGTAATGGTGAATGTTTATGATGTAATTGTGAATACCTATCATGTAAAGGTGAATGCCTATCAAGGTGAACGCTTATCATGTAAAGGTGAATACCTATCATATTATTGTGAATGCCTACCATGTTATGGTGATGCCTACCATGTAATGGTGAATGCCTATTATGTAATGGTGTGATGCCTACCATATTATTGTGAATGCCTACCATGTAATGGTGAATGCCTATTGTGTAATGGTGTGATGCCTACCATGTTATGGTGATGCCTACCATGTAAAAGTGAATGCCTATCATGTAATGGTGAATGCCTATTATGTAATGGTATAATGCCTATCATGTAATGGTATAATGCCTATCATGTAATGGTGCATACCCATCATGTAATGGTGAATGCCTACCATGTAATGGTGAATGCTTATCACGTATTGGTGAATGCCTATCATGTAATGGTGAATGCCTATCATATATTGGTGAATGCCTACCATGTTTTGGTGAATGCCTATCATATATTGGTGAATGCCTGCCATGTTGTGGTGAATGCCTATCATGTGATGGTGAATGCCCATCATGTGATGGTGAATGCCCATCATGTAATGGTGAATGCCTATCATATATTGGTGAATGCCTACCATGTTTTGGTGAATGCCTATCATGTATTGGTGAATGCCTGCCATGTTGTGGTGAATGCCTATCATGTGATGGTGAATGCCTATCATGTAATGGTGAATGCCTATCATATATTGGTGAATGCCTACCATGTTTTGGTGAATGCCTATCATGTATTGGTGAATGCCTGCCATGTTATGGTGAATGCCTATCATGTAATGGTGAATGCCTACCATGTAATGGTGAATGCCTTTCATTTAATGCCAATGAATAGGATAAGACAGTCATGGCTTTCCATACTTCTGCATCCAATGTAAGCAAACAAAAGTGACGTCAATAACCTTGGATACATCACTGTTGGGGATGAAGTTCAAACCATATTCAGGGAAAGTTTGAATGTTCAAATCACTGCTGATTTGTACAGAGCTAGATGTATAATAATTAGTAATATTGAAATTTATCTTCCTTTTACATTTCGTTTCAGCCTCTGAAGAAATTCTGTGAAGAATTCATAAGAACTTAAATTTGCAAATATCTTCTTGCAAGGAAATCCACAGTTTGGAAGGACCTGTTAAATTGTACTTTCACATGTACAAGATGACAGTGTGATGTCACAAATCATGTGCGTTATAATGTATTCAGGTAATTCACTCAGAGAACTTTCTAACAGGCTAAGCTTCAATTGTCAGCTACGGGTCAAAAATATTTGACACCTACATTCGTAATATGCATCATGAATAAAGTATGAAAGAATTACTGAGCAATGATTATAACATAAATGTTAAGGGATAAAATAAATTAGGTTTCAGTTGCAACAAATCAATGCGATTTTTGTTTAATTACCTCTCTCATAGCCAGCCAAATAATAAAATTATTGTGATTTGAAAAGATCTACATAACATGGGTTGATGATAACATATACATTGTAGTTTTAAAAATGAGAAGAAAATGTGTCACAATACAAATACATTTATTTGGAGGTAGTGAAAACATACACTGGCAGTGTGGTAGTATTGGTAATATATATATAGTATTAAGAGTAAGAGATTACCACGAGAATATGTACTCTGACAGTGGAAATATCAACAAATATATATTGCAGTATTCTCAGTTTTGATATTAATGATTTATTTTGTTACATAATATTCTGAGTGCACAAAAGGAATTTATTTACACTTTTTGAGAATTTGTGTTTTGACACTCATCAATAAGTCTAGTACACTCTTCTTTGGCAAAGATATCATTCACAGTTTGTTTGTATTTCATGAAATGAAACGATGGCAGTGAGAAATGTGTTGCTGACTTGACATGACATTTATCTGTTAAGTTGTTTCGGCTTCTTCAGTCATATATTCGGTGATAGTGGCTTCATCTATTGGTATTGTAAGATACTGCAATCCATCCACACCCTGTAAGTAATCAATGTGTGACTTTAATGATGCAATTTCCTCAACATAATCATATCCTTTGATGTACCTAAAGGTCATCAGTGATTGCATAGCATTCTGTGGAAACACTAAAGAAAGAAAATATTTTGTCAAAATTCAACAGAATTTAGATTATGCCCTCCTGCAGTGGCACAAGTATATACATGACACTAATGAATGAAACATAGGGAAGATTCACTGGCTTTATTAAACCTTGGTCACTTGTTCATTCACGCAACTACTTCATATAGATGCAAATGAAAACAGTGCATGTATATGTATTAACTAGAACCCACTTTTCACACTTAAATGAATAGTGCCTGCAGACAACTAAACTGTATATGTGATAAGGTTCTCTTTGGTGTACACTATTCCCAATTACCCAGTAGAAATAATAAACTAGACATGACCTGAATATGCTTTTGTGTGTTAAAATTGCTGACAATATAAGGACACTCCCAAAGAAATAATTTCAGTTTTTTGTCCAGGGATGTTTAATTAATATTGTTTTGTATTAGTATGATACTGCAAAACATGTTGATTAGTTACATGGATACATGAATAGTATGCAAATTAGCTACAAAAACTGCAGAGTTAAAACTAATATTCATAATTTATCTTCACAGAGCATGCTAATTAGTATGCAAATGAGCTGATTGATCGATAGGTACAGATTAATTCCAAACTATGATTAGACATTCACCTGTATATACAGTATGCAGGTACCAAGTTTCAAGACATTAAACTATTGTTGGGATAAGAATAAACAAGCTGGGAACAATTAATCTGAAAGCTAATTAATATGCACAGATTAATTTCAAAATATTATTAGATTAGTATTAATTGACCAACCCAAACAGCAGGCATGTACTTAGTTTTAATCCACTTGAGTAAAATGTTACAATACAAATTATGATAAATTAGCCAATTAAACAATTATCAGACAATCAATTGTACAGGCTTCATGCATGTACTATGTTTCAACCTGTTTGAACAAACAGTTACGATACAAAATAAACAAGCTGAAAAAAGTTGATTAATATGCAAATTAAGAAATAAATATGCATATATTAATTAGAAGATGTTATTAAATATGGATTTACACAAACAGCAATCATGATCAGTGCATTTGTGCCAACAAAAGCAAAGATATACAGTGAAGTAGCAAAAGTTGATTATTATGCAAATTATCTAATTAACATGAACCAAAATCAAATCAGGTCTGAATTTATGATTCAGCAGCTATGTGCCAAGTTTCGTATCAACTTAGTAGTATTAGAGATATTAGTAGAACAAGGTTTGACAAAGACACATCTGAACGGAAAGATGGACTGACAGTACCAACATTGAACCTAATAAAAAATGATATTATTACTGTGATCAATTTACAAGTCATTTTTACTGAAATAGTAAAAATATTGATACCACATTATCATTACAAACGGTTACATATTTGAACTATCAAAAAAGTGAGCTATAATACAATACTGTTGGTTAGGTTGCGTTTTTGTTCACAGTAAAGCTTTATCTGATTAAATAATAAACACCATTAAAATATTCTAATCTATATGGCATTAAAAAGTATGATATTTAGTTATAGATCCGCAGGTTGGCAAAGATGAGTGATCTTAGTCATGCTTGTATATGAAGGACCCATTCAGTGTAATTAATTCCTTGGATACCAACATTCAAATAAGCTGAAAACAGTGTTGCATTACATGTAAATACTGTATATTCTTCACATCAAGTAGACATACACACACAGGTCGCCTACATTTCAAACATTGATGCATCAATGGTCGACTGTGTTCAAAGAATGACATTCACAAGGAAAGTAATAATCCTCTAGCTTTTTCAATATGTGGGCAGCGCATTGAAACAGCAATGCATACGCTGAATGGCTATTTTGATGTTGAATGAAAGCTGAGGGACTGATAATTTGTATGTCCATCGGTTTTAGAAATCAGTTTCCAATTTATGATCAGCGGATGAGGGTATGTAGAGCAATTATCTGAGTGGCATTTCATGGAATGAAGACCTACATATGGGAAAATAGACACTTAATATACAAACGGATATAATTGGGAACTATCTGTTAGTCTCTCAAAGAGTTTCATAGAATAATGGAATGAAAGAGATTCAAACGTTATTTCAACACAAGTTTCATCTTACATTTTCTAGACATAGTTAGGAACTCAGTAGCTATGCTGTTTGCTGCGACATCACTAGAATAATTGTCTGTGGTAACTCACAGTCCTTACATGATTGCATGTCTTACTTGACATGCACAAGAAGCTAATCATTTTTTACATCTGACATCATGATAGTTCAGCACATTTAACAACTAACTTGATGCAACATGCTTTACACACTCTAATGCTTAGAGTTAAGTCTGGAAAATAATCAGCAGTCTAAATATTTCATCAGAGAATTGTGATGGAGTACTTTACTAGCTGATTAGAAACTCCATCACGTTGCCATTAAATAGAGGAGAAATGCATAATCTAAACATCCTCAACATAAACGTGCTAGAACACCATCATGAAAGATCTTAAATGTAATTACCTTTAAATCAATAAAAGTACTTTACTGGTCGATATTAATCAAACAGTGAAACATACTGTGGCGGGACATAATTTGATTTACTTGTTCTAAAAATTAGTGAAATCAGACTGTAAAACCAAATATTGAAAATCTACTTGTGAATGTACATGCAGTGATCACAACTTATTTTAAAACTTCAATCTTAGCTAAATACGGTTGAGAATTAGTTAACCCCAATTTGGCAACACACTGGGATATAATACTCACACTCAGTTCCCCAGGCAATATTAAATTATTAAATGTTAACTGAACAGATTCTAATTTGCTCTGCAGGTTAATTATTATTGGAGAGTAGAAGCAGTCAATGAATAAGCATATACCGGCAGTACATAATATTATTTATCAATTAACATCTTTATTCATCTAAGACCAAACATCCCATGACTGACAAGTATACTGCGGTATGCTAGATGACCAATTTAAAAATAGAAAGACATATAAATCTAGAGGCATACAACAAAGAAGTGATATCAAAAATTTAAAAGATCTTCAAAACCCCAGGAACAAACACCATGTAGAAGATATCTTAGAAAGATAGGGCAGACTGAGAATAAATACTTCCCCAGTCTCACACAAGCATCTACTCCATGGGAGAACTGTCAAAATCATTTATCAATTTTGCAAAAGAAAAAAAACCACTTTTGGAGTTTCATATCATTAAAAAGCTAAACGATTTGTAGTTTGATTGATGTTAATAAAGACAGCATGGGATCTGTTTGTAATGTCAAGGACATATTAAATAAATTGATCATTAAACAAGATATACCTGTCTTGGGCAGATGGTAAAGTTCAATGAAGAAATTTATTATCAATCAAATACCACAACCTTGTTGAAATCATTGATGTTGAACTCAATTGAAGTATTCATCTCTGATAATGACTCACCTTCTTGAAGATGATTAGCTTATGATCTCGAAATTCAGTCAGCTGAGCGCGTAAAGTTAGGTCGCTATTAACTAAGAACGACTCACGGCATTTCTGATAAAGATCTTGGAATGACATCCCTGGGAGAAAATTACAAAGCATATCATCAGTTTTGTTAAAAGATGAAATTATTTGTTTTATTAGATAAATAAAGATGGTAATCTGGTTTTCATTACATACTCTATTCTTATTGTAAGGATAGTCAGGTAAAAATAGTCAGAACATTTCAATGAAAAACATAACAAGCACATGTTTTTTTCTTTCAGAATTCCGAGACACAAAACACTAATCACAAATTGTACTATTTGAAGTACAAGGAGAGGTTTTACAAAGAAAGTAAACTAATTTATTCATCAATTTTTAATTTTCCAAAATGGTTATTGAAAGACACACAGACACTTAATTTAAATGTACATATCATAACTGTGCAAAACTGGAGATGAATCACAGGCCCTATTCAAGCACAACTATTCTCACCACAGTAAAGATGTGCAATGGAACCATATAGCAGTTGTGTGCTTCTACGTGATTTACCAGACAGACACAAATAACATTTCATGTACATTGTAGGCAGATAAAATACAGTGTTAATACTGAAAATTACTGTAATTTAGATTTCTATTATTTTGATTTACTAACAAAGTTTGCCACCATGTGCAAACTTTTAACATTTAACATCAAAACCAACACATGGATAATATATGACTATACTAATGCTGAAATTTCAAAACATCACATTTATCCTATCTACTGTTAACATCCACTTTATAACATCAATAAATGGCATAACCTCATTCTGACTGTTTTTTTTTTAATAAATGCTGTTATATTTGCTTTAAAATATTGATAAAAGACTACATTGTCACTCAATTTTATTTAGGTAGGCAAAACAAACCAAACTATGAATAGGCATTTTCCGATATATATATAAGGGCATTGAATAAAACCATTATCTTGATTTTTATAATGTATCCACACTTTTTCATATACCTTGCAATGAGTTGAGGTTATAAAAATAGTCTCACCTATGTATGAAGAATTGTCTTTCTGTTCCATCTGATATCTGGCAAGCAGCAAGAATATACCTCTGAAAATGTAAAATGATTGTCACATTTGTCATACACCAGTCAATCAAAACCCCAGAAATGATTGTCACATTTGTCATACACCAGTCAATCAAAACCCCAGAAATGATTGTCACATTTGTCATACACCAGTCAATCAAAACCCCAGAAATGATTGTCACATTTGTCATACACCTGTCAATCAAAACCCCAGAAATGATTGTCACATTTGTCATACACCAGTCAATCAAAAC